TATTATAGTAAATCTCTTATAATAAATCTATTTCTTAATACATGTACGACAAATGACAGGAAATTTTTTTCATCGGAGTTAATTAATTTCACTCATGTACTGCTATGCAGCACATGGAGTGACATTAATTTCGACGAAAAAATTCTCCTGTTATTTTTTTGTCGTCTGCCCAAAATTTAGCAAAGGCTTTTTTTGTTAGCATGTAGAAGGCGGTTTCATAAGTGAAATTTCAAAGTTATTAAAAAAAAAACAAAAAGAACAGAAAACTCACGTGACAGTAACATTTTTTTCGCCATGGCTCATTTTTAATTCACGCCGTCACAATGATTCAAAATGGTTCACCTGATCTCAGATTATACGGGTGATCTGGATGACGATTTTGCATCCGGTTTGGAACTCTACATTGAATAAGCCAAGTTGGACTTTATTTAAATTAGATCCGGCTCAACTGACTACTAAATTATACAAACATAAAATAACCTTTGCTTATTATATATTTTCAATACTATCCAAATTTGTACCATGTATTTGTCAACTTAAAGACCATATTTATTTAAATGCATATTTATATAATAATCTAATGCTACGTACAATTTTCATTTTTTAGCTTGAAAATTTGCTTATATAGACAGTATTTGTAAACTTTATATATTTAGTAATTAACTTTGTATTGAAATAAATTTATTAAATTGAATGATTCACTAAAACGAAATTGAACTCAATTAGAGTTCAACATTTGAATGTACCCTAAAGTTCTCGCTCTAATAATCCCCAATTGGTAAATAATATAACCCGTGACTTAATATTGTAGGCATGAGAAATGACCAATCGGGATGCGTAAATTTTGGTGAAAAATATCGATTACACTTCGGGCAAAATTAAGTGTATAATTTGGGCCGGACAACACAAATTTAGCCAGCCTGAACTGTCAACAATGTTTTGCCGGAAAGTTATATTACCGATCACGTCATATTGTGTTACATCAAAACGTGCATCTGATTGGCAATATTGGTAAATCGATATTTTCACCATCCCTGTTTTATCCCAATGTAATATCAAACACTAATGTCTAGCTACGTAGCTATATAGCGCTATATAGCATTAAAAGTTTTATTAAGCACCCGTAAAATTAATAACTTAAAATAGTATGAAAAATGCTTGGTAATGCTAATCGTACAAAATTGCACTAATAAAAAAGATAGCAAAAGATCATAATGATCTAAAATATATAAATCAGCTTGAATATCGCTCTTGTAGAAAAGTCAGTTAACAACTCAACAACTCAATCATAAAGAAGTGGTGGTGTCTTCATACACGAACAATTTGAATACTTTATTAAATAACTATAGATTAACAATTCCCTAGAGAGTAATCATGTCTTCATACACTGATAACTCGAATAACCCATAAATTAGTTATAGTGTCTCCATACACGAATAACTTGGAGTATAGTAATAAACTTGTTATACGACTACTTGTATCTTCATACGTATACACTTAGCCGTTGCCTCTTTCGTAATTGCAAATCACCCCAATCCTCTTAAAAGCGCAACCGCAACAAAACCTTGTAGTTTACTTAGCATAAATCGGCATTGATATTGATTGCTTAGTATATCTGTCACTAAAGTAAAATCGTTATACGTACCAAACTTATAAGAGGTAATTTCGGGTGTAACAGTACTTATACATACATTATTATTACTAATTCTTACTTATGACCAATGATTATTACTTAAGTTGCCATGTTACTTATATCACAATTCGTTATTACGCAAAGAAATAATTGGAAATATTAAGTAATAATATGTTACTATACTTTCCCATCTCTAATTGCCAATTCAACCAATTAATAAATTTTCGATTCACATTACTACTTATAAGACATGCCCCTAGAATCAGAATTATTAGTGGTAACTTACCGTAAATATGCATATACAAAACAACGGGTCTGGTACATTTCACCAATTTTAAAACCTTGAATAGAACCGGGGGTCTGTCGTATAAACATTGGTCTGATAATCAGGGGAAGTTTTTATGTGAGGAAAGTCAAAACCTTATTGAATTTATGTAATATATATTATGTTCTAATATCATACCCGGTTCTTCTAATCATTGTTTCCTATAATATACCCGGGTCTGTTTCATATTACCAAAATTTTTTACCTATATTATAGCTCCAAGTCTGATTCACTATTTTGGTAGATGCACTTTACGGTACCATGGTAAGTTACCACTGTAAGATTTATTGATAAGTTAGGATAGTGACAAATATAGTATTACAGTAATATTTTTTACGATATCAAATGTCTCCTTTCTCCATATAAGAGAAATTGGATTGACTAGCTTTATATAAATTTGTATTTAATGTAACGATAAGAACTCGAAGATTCCTTCCTTCCTCAATATATTAGTAATATTTGTTACTGCCCTTACCAAACTATAATTAATTATGGTTAGCATTAAGATAGAAAAACCCGGGAAAAACTTAGTAACTTATAATAACTTTATTATCTGAGAACTTAATAATTTACAATCCTAATCAGAATTACGCAAACGTAGATCATTTGGCCGAAATTAACGTACAGTAAAACCTTATAAGTGCATGCTCTTGGACCAAACCTTAACAACGTGCACTTAGAGAACAATAAGAAAAAATGAATTTATGGAGGTCTCATATATAGTTGGGTCCGAATTTGTGTGTGCATTTAAGGAGGATGTGCTACAAATGCGTGTTGGTTAAAAATGCAAATTTCCAAATTAGAGACGGAAAGGAATAACCCGTAGATTGATTTACTATTTCGTCTTATCAATCAGCCTCTGAAGATCCTAACCTATGTGATTAACGTTAATTCTTTAATATCTATTATAGCGCTTTGAAGAAAAAAATGTGACCCTGTGATTTTGTGATGACGATTGCGGATTCTAATTACCTGTTAATTATTTTTCAATTGTCGGAAAATCCGGTTTCCAGTGATCCACATAATATCATGATCTGCAAGGATCAGACCCGTCATTGATGATCAGGTAATGTATTGTCGAAACGACTAGAACGGTGGGTTTACCAACTTTTCCTCTTGCAACATTTTAGTATAATCTATGTTCTATCTGACCTTTATACTGCTATAACGATATCTTTATGCACGCCATTATTTGATCGAATCAAAAATTCTGAGTCTGATGAGAACTATTTCGCCCAATCGAAAGTAGAACAGTTTTATAAACAAAATTTAATTTGATTGGTAGAAGAAAAATGGCGTAGTCTACTTCATCCAATTAGAGACGACCCAATCAGAACTAGAACGATGCAATCATTGCGCAGTGCACAAAAACAACAGGATGAACCGTCAGTATTGCACAATTAATCCAACAGGTGAAGGATTATATCTATAACATTGATGGTAGAATGATCTAATATTGTAAAATAATTTTTTTATGAACCGCGCACCAGGTGAGGGATTAGTTGTGCAACATTAATGGTTCCTCCTATTACAAAAAACTATTGTAAAACACCCGAGATTCCGTTCAATTAAGACAAATACTGGTGGAATTTTTTTTACAATCGGAAACTTTCTTGCATCATACCAACAGACTGCTACTAACTCCAGCTATACTCTAAATTCTGTTTAATAAAATGTGCCAGAAAAATGTCGGTATACGTCATGCCAAGATTCTGTGCGTAACACATTGCAGGTTTTCTCTTTCCGTTGCTCAAATTATATATTTATCACATGACAGGAATTGAGTTCCGCATAAATAATTGACATAGGAAAATCATTTTTCTAGCAAAGATCCCAATATTATTGCAGTAGACGTTACAAAGTTTTTAATTTAGCGACGATTATTATTTTGCAAAGTCAGATCCGGGTTGCAAAATTACCGGCAATTTGTCAAAAAATAGGAAATTTACCACAAATCTATAAACTACTAAAGTTTTACAACTGAGCCCGCATTGTTGAACATGCTTGTTAATTTGTCTCCTTATCGTAAGTGGTACTCATTGTACTTACATCTATTTAAATAAGGGAAAATATGAAACAAAAACAGCAAAATTAATTTTAAAAATGCATATTATATGTTACCTAAATTACATATGCCAACGTGGTTCGTCTTTATGAGTAAAAATATATGTATGTGGAATTCACCGACAAATTGTTTTTTTTTAGGATAATTTTTGATGGATTTCTGTTTGATTACGATAAATAACAGAAATATAAAAATGCATTTCAAATAAATAGAACCCTTTTTTTACTAATTTAAAACTTAATCAAGAATCATTATTATTATTATTATTATTGGGCCCCATAAAAAATAATCACGCTGGGTCAGCATAAAAAGCAAACCGTAATTTTAGAATTTGAAACCGGTTTATTTTTCATATATTAAATTTGGGTTTAATATAAAAATAAGTCGTTTATAAATTCGTGTTAAATAATATTTCCATTTATGTCCTATCTAATAATATATAAATATATCAACGGATTTTATTTTCTTGATTGTATAAATTTTAAATTTTGTAAATAAATAGTGATAGGGATGAAGGTTAAACGAATAAAAATTTTTTAATGATAGTAAATATCGGGTTTTTTTTTCTGAAACTATGTCAATAAACATATATGCTTAACCGATCGCTCAAGTAGAAAAAAAGGTAATTGGATATGAACGTGAATGGTTTGAAATATGCGTTCACACAAAATTCATAAAACAAGAGCATACATAAATGAATATTTCGTGTGTACATTGTGTGCATGAATTGTAACTGTTTACTTTGTACATACTTATTACTGCCGCATAAGTAATTTACAATCCAACCTTAAATAGAAATTTTTATATTAATCTTCTACCATCCTTCCAAAAGAATACAATATTGTACAAAATTTTTTTATACAATAAAAATATTTTTTGCAGTAAATATGCTCAAAACATAATACAGGTGATGACATATAAAAACAACCAATTGAGCAATTGACGACTTGTTCTTTTCGACCCATTTCTTTAGAAAAATGTACACTCCTTTAATGAGGGTATGATATCATCTAATACTAAAGATAATCTAGCGGTAGAAGTTGTTGGCTTTGCCATATACATTTGCCCGTCCGACCCTCAAACCTTCCTTGCAGGCAAATTCCCTAAAATACGGCCAAATGAGACAAAATCTCTTTAGTCTCATCGTCTTCTTAGTCTTATTTTTAGTGGTCGGAGAGAATGGTAAGGCTCTTTTCTTTTTTTCTACCCTTTATCCAAAAAACCAATCATTTATGAAGGATTAAAGGTTAATAGTTTTACTTATCTAGGGTTCATATACGCTTATTCTATAATACGGAGCTCGACAGGGCCAAGTTTATCTAGTTATGAATTAAATAATTTAGAAAAGCGGATGAATGGTGTTGTTAGTATGTATTTTTATTACTATATAATATATTTAATGCAATAAACCATCAAAATACTCATTTTTTATCCTGTAAAAAGATCAAAGTAAGAGAGATGTGATCAAGACATCAACAACATCACGTAAGATTTTATTCATTATCTCATTAATTAATTCACTCATCATTGAATATGAAGATTAACAATCAATTATATTGAAAATTGGGTTAATAAACAGATGGCACCCATCCGACTACACAATTAAAAAATGCTTCGATAGAGTCGAGCGCCCCTAAAAGTAATATGATAATAAAAATAAATCAAAATAAAAAAATATTACATTCCAATGTCCCTTCTCCCACAACCACTAAAACCACTATCCCTGAAAATAAAGTGGACGATTATTTAAGAGCTCGAGGAGTCTTACCAGCAGTTGACAAAATACCCAATACACCACAAACTAATAATAAACAAACTGACAACAATTCATCTAATAACCCATCAACTCCCATTGATATTCCACCACCAATTGACATACCGATATCAACCGACAATTCGCAGAAAGATAGCAATTCAAAATCTGATTCCAATCCACAACCTAACAACAATCCACAATCTGACACCAATCCACAATCTAACACCAATCCACAATCTAACACCAATCCACAATCTAACACCAATCCACAACCTGAAACTAATCCACAATCTAAAACCAATCCACAATCTGACACTAATCCACAACCTGAAACTAACCCACAATCTAACACCAATCCACAATCTAACACCAATCCACAATCTAACACCAATCCACAATCTAACACCAATCCACAATCCAACACCAATCCACAATCTGATACAAATCCACCATCTAACACTAATCCGCAATCTGATTCCAATCCACAATCTAACGACAAACAGACCGACAATACACAAATTAATAATAACCCACCCGATGTCGCAATTCCTCCGACTGATGGCAACTCGACTACCCCAAACGTGCCTGACATCCCAATGCCTAACATGCCAGTTTCTAATGATACATCAAATCCTGATTCGCTACCTTCAAATCCTGATTCGCTGCCTTCAATCCCTTTACCAGACATACCGATATCTACTGATGCACCAGATCCTAATTCGCAACCGATACGTGCTGTCTCAGTAGCGCCAGATCAGCCATCACCAGTGCCAGATCAGCCAGCTCAACCAGCGCCAGCTCAACCAGCGCCAGCTCAACCAGCGCCAGCTCAACCATCACCAGCGCAAGATCAGCCAGCTCAACCAGCTCAACCAGCTCAGCCTTCAATTGCTTTACCAGACTTACCAATTCCTACTGGTGCAACAGATCCTAATTCGCAACCGATACGTGCAGTCTCTCAAGCGCCAGATCAGCCAGCTCAGCCTTCAATTCCTTTACCGGACATACCAATTCCTACTAATGCACCAGCACAAGTTTCTAATGCGCCACCGATACGTGCTGTCTCAGATATACCAAATCAGGTTCCTTCAAATTTACCAAACGCTAATCCTACAAATGCTGTCCCAAACGTTATTCCTACACAAAATTTACCCAATCCTACTGCGGCACCAGCACCACAAGTTGCATCAAATGCAAATGCTGCACCAGCTGCGACTGTAAATAATAATTCTCCATCCAATGTTCCACAGTTCACCGTAGTGCCTACTACTGCTGTTGTAACTACCATAGCAGCGACAGTTGCAACAGTATTTAACAGTCAACAATCTAGTTTTCATTTAACAACATATAGTTTTACAAGTGTTTACACTACTAATTTTTTGGTTTCTAAACAAATCGAAAGTCTTACTGGAAATTTTAATTATCCAAAAGGTACACCAACAAGCACATCTTCTAGTAAAGTAAATGCTGATGATTCAACAGATAATAGTCACATTATAGGACCAATATTAGGTGCAATAACAGCTACTGCATCATTAGCATTTATTGTAGCCTTAGTCCTTATTAGGCGAAAAAGATGTACCTCGGGACACTTTAAACTTGATGAATTTGATTTAGAGGATTCAGGAGAATTTAATATGCATGATGATATGATTCAACAACCAGAAATGGCACATATTGATACATATAGCGATATTATTGACCTTGGTTATGGTAGCAGCAGTAGTAGTGATGGTGACGTTGGTGCCGTTGGTATGTTAATTGATGTACCGATGGATATACCGACACCAACTCCATCTTATGATGGAAGAAGCAGATTTACTGAAAGGTTCTGATGTATGGTTTGTAATCTAATAGCTATTCATCATAGTTAAACATGTATAACTTTATGTATTATATGTTTAATCCTGTAATTTTATTTAATATAATAATTTATTATTTTTTTTTCTTACAATTAATTTTTTGTGAAAAAAAAGGGTTAATCTCTTGACAACACCAATTAAACTAATAGAATAGATAAAAAGACAGTTTAAATAATGAACAAGCTGTACAATAAAGGTTTTTTTTTTTTCTTCGGTGGCGGTATCGATGGCATCATTTGTATTGTATTATCATCTTAATAAAATTATTCTTAAAAAACATTACCGTTACTGTATTACTCCGGCGAATCTACCTAAATAAAGCTATGTTGTAGGAAATATCCAAATGTTTATGATAATACTACGTACTCTAGTAATGTGCACTTTTGGTGTACACAGTAATTAATACTTGGACTGTTTTTAGAAAATTTAAATGATGCATTAAATAAAAATAATATTTCACATGCATACAACATAATGCAAATATTAATTTTTTTTTTTTTGTTTTGTAAACATACTGTACATACATAGTGTAACTATTCTGTTAGGAATGCATTAAGAAAAAGAATTGAATTGAAAGACCAATTCAACCCAATAGTTTACGTGAAAGAAGGGTTGAACGATTTGGGTAATAGAGAAAAATTTTATAATGATTCTATTGGAAAGCCAGATAGAACCAAGATCAAGATGGTGTGCTTGTGATGGAAAAAAGTGTAATACGCAATATGGTTTGTAATATTCAAAGGTTATTATAATTATGTAGTTAAGTAATAATTTTGTAACGATACAGTGGTGGGAAATTTACTATTTTAGATATCTAGCACCTGGCTAGTATTAATTTCAGGGGCTTAATTCTAGTCAGGTGTTACTTTAGATTTCTAAAGTAGTAACTTAAGATATCGCAACTTCAGATGCAACGTCACCTTATCGTTATGTTACTTAAAATATAATATTTGATATTAAAGTTTGACAATTAGGGTGATGAAAAACATGTGGCAACTTCGGTTACGACATTTATATATTTATTTATATATTATTTATTAATCAAAAATGAAAATTTATTCTATTTTGGGAATGTATTTCTTTGACGGTTATTTTTAAAATACGTATAACGATACATTGCAAATAACAAAATCAATTTTGTTTTAGAAAAACCAATACTTTATTGTTCAGTATAACTCCTTGCATTTATAAACATTTATTACACATTTTGGCATGAATTATCTTTTAAACCTTATATATATTATAGGTAAGAATTTTGCTATTTACAACCAGTGGTAATCACCTAGGGTAGGGGCATTCCCTTGTCACATTATTATAAAGGGCAAGAGCCAATAAAATTGCAGAATTATCTGTTACGTAAGTAGATTACATAATATTTTTAAAATTTTAAATTGTTGAAAGTGGAAACAGAATTTAAGTGGGTTCGGAATTGTTATATAAGACCAGCATTTTGGGCATATGAACACCCTTACCCTAACCCTAGTTTAGCTAGGAAGTTCCAAATCCACTTAAATGCCGTTTCCACTTACAACACTATCATTGTATAGGGGCATTCCTTGAGCTGAGTAGGGTTGGGATAGTAATGTTACCCAAACCCAGTGATTTGAAACTTCAAAATTTACCAAATCCCAAACTATATTTGGTGGTTCGCTACAGCCTTGTACTCACATGACTTTTTATATGTAGATCAGCCAATAGAAATCATGAAATTTGGTTTACACGAATCAGTCCAAAGTTAAAAAAAATGCAAAAAATAGCAGTTTAAACCTGTCTTGGTGCATTAATAAAAAATATTAGAAAGGCGCTTTTATCAATATACCTAAACTAACCTTAACCCTAATTATAATTAAAACTTCAAAATCACGTAGGTACAAGGTATAAGGAATTGAAAAGACATTCATGTAATATCTGTTATTACTAGTAACTTATATGTTATTACATGAACCAAAATTAAGAATAAGTTCTAATCTTAATTCCAAATTAGGCAAAATTTTATACTTGTTTATTCGCATTCAAATGATTCTAATTGTTTATTTCATATTATTCTCGCTCGGATTATTATTGCAAACACAACAGTATTTCAACAGCAAATTTCATTAATTCCATTAACTTAAATACACTATGTAGAAAACTATGGGAATGTTGCCTGTCAATATTGCATCTTTTAACACGTTACTACCTTTATTCGGAACAGTTTGGGGTGTACACATCTGTTCAACCTAAATCATGGAACAGTGTGGGGTTTACACAGCTGTTCATCCTATTTCATGAAACAGGGAGACATACGCAGCTGTTTGCTCTGCTTCTTAGGATATTATGCAGCATCCACAGCTGTTAACAAAAGAATGGTGTATGGAGTATACAGCCATTTCCGTCCTATTTCTTGTTATTTGGCGATGCGAAGTACACGGCAATTCAACCTCCAATTCCCTAATCAGTTTGTTGTGATTTCACAGCGTTGGATAGTATCGATATGGCGTAAGATCTCATTCACTAATTATCCTAGTTTTTTTTTTTTTGAGTGGGGTGGGAGGAAAGAACCTTTGATTAGCCAGAAATAGGGGTTTCGGGCAACTACGAAAAGCAGCGAAAGTAAAGCACAACTTCCTTTTGAAATTTTCTTAGGGCTTATTTATACTTATTATTTAACTCGCTAGGTCAATGACTTCATCATCATGCAATTTATTTAGACTTTTGCCTTTGTGATTAGAACCAGTAACTTCAACGATCATGAGGTCAAGTGATCCTCGCAATAATATCCTTCCTATGCTACGTCACAGTCGGTCATACTGCAGTTATTTTTGTAATCGTAATTCAGAGTATTGCAATCTGGGTTCTTGAAAACAATTACCAGAATTAAAATAAAGTTAACACATTGAAAAAATACTACATACAAAAAAGCAATATCATAATGAATGAACGGGTGACATGCAAATTTCTCTAAGATGGCGTGCCGAGAAAACTATAAGAAATGAGGTGATATTTTAAGTCTGCATTGCATGAGATGTGTGCCAGGTTTGTGGCATAAACAAATACTTGCATATCTTGAATGTGTGCCGGGACCAGGAACGATGATTTTCTGCGTTCACGGAATTTTGCAGAAAAATCACGGAATTGATTCAGATCATTTTTTAAAATTTTGGCCTGGATTTAGGGTCTACAGTCATCATAATGCTGGCCGACTTACGTAATTCCGGTCAATCACAGAATTTTTGCAGAATCATCTTTTATCTAGGGATGTATTACATAAATTATTTTGTTACGTTTCATGTAAATTACATTGTAACTTACGAAATTGTAATGAACTTTACGTTGAATAGTGCATTATCACATGATAATTTACTGACATTACAAAAGTTAGCCAGCACTAATTGATATCCATCGGAATTGTAATTTTTTTTATTTTTTTAATAAAAATTTTTGCAAAAATTATTTACATAATAAAAATTACATGTAATTTTGATTTCAAAAACTTACACAAATTACGTAAAATTATGTAAATTTACGGTAATTTTCCAATCCTACTTTTATCACGGATCAGATTCCAAGATCAGTTGGAACTTAAAACTATCAAGAAAATTCAACAAACCTTCATTTTGTCAAAATTACTTATTTTTCAAAAATCAGCATAAGTGACCACTTTTAGTACTTTAAAAAAAGTTTTTATTGGGCAATTTTGCTATATAAACTACTTCCTTCTAATTTCTAAACCTGACTCTAATCTTAACATAAACAAGCTTTAAAGAATTTTTGCTGCATCATGAACCTGGCACACATTCAAGTGTTGCAAAATTCTTTTCAAACTTATTGCTATAAGACTAATATTTGCATTTAAGTTAAAATTAACAAAATCCTAAAAATTTATTTGTTCTTCAGGAATCTATCTTATTAAATATATATGAACTTCATAATTTCTATTTTTGGTTTATTATTAACATGAAAAAATAAAATGCATGTCTGATTTATGATAAAAATTACATCTTTTTCTATTATCTATTATTTTTGTTATCTATGATTTTCATAACAATAATTTTTTACAAGATAATCTAAATTTTAAATTAACTATTAGTACTGTATTTTCAAATATCTTGTACAAGAAGGTAAATTTTTTTGAATTTGTAATTTTTCATTATATTTTTATTAATTTAATTTCTTTTATAAATCTTGACTTTCTACTAGCACTCATTTTTTATTTACATGAACAATATAAAAATACTTATTCATATTACAATTTTTTGAACCATTACTGTGATATAATAATTAATTTAGTTTTCTTAAGTTTTTAGTATAAGTTTGATAATATTTAGACTAGACAATTTTTGAAAGAAACAAAAAAGTTAATAAATCAAAAATATTTCATAGATTTAACAAAGAAGATGTATTTTTTATTTCACAAATAAGAAAGTTGCTATTGGTGATTCTTATCCAAACATTGGTTTAAAAAATTAAAAGCATATTGTGTTCATGATTGTCTTTTTTAGTACTGATGTTTAAGGCTTATGCTTAATAGAATTACTGAATATGATCATTTGATAACTATTTTAAGACCTCTATTTAGATATTCTAACTTTATTGTTGATATAAGTTATTAGTTTTAAAAGAAGAATTATATATTTACTTTTTATCTTTAATGAGAAAGCACACTGTTAATAATATTTTTATTATAATAGATCAAGTCAAAATGTTTGTAACATGCAAATAATTTTAAAAAATTTTGAAAGAGGATAATTAAAGAACAAAAAGAGTGAGTAAATTAATTATGAAACTTTTATGTCAGTAATTTTATAATCTATTAATTAATTTATTATCTAATTAGAAATAAATTAAGATTAAAAAAGAAAAAAAAAACATAATACCTATTTCTAATGATAAGTTATAATATATTTTATATTTTTTTATTTAATATTATATTGAATTGTATTATTTTTTTATATTAGAATCTAGAAAAAAAAATAAATAAAAACAAACAAATA